TGCATAGTCGAGTTTCTTCCCGAGCCAATCTTATTTTTTAATTTTTTTTTTTATTTTGTCTTTTTGTGTTTTTTTTTTCTGCTTATATATTTGTTTTTTTCATTTTTTACTTTATTTTTGTTTGTTATTTTTTTCTATTGCTTGTGCATAGAGTTGAGTTGGAGTCGAGTTGAACCAAACCCGGTTGGGGTAGAATGGTTTTATAAGTGGATTTACTTGCCCTAGAATATTAAGTTGAGGTATTAAAAGGTAACATGTAGAAATGTAGGTCTTTATTTGGTATTGCATCATACAATTAAAGAGATGGTTTGCGGAAGTATACGAGCCTTCCATGACCTTGCGTTTCTTTCATTTTCTTCCATTTCTTCATCTTCCTCTTTATCTACCTTCATCTTTTCTCTCATTCTCTTTCCCTTCTCCAGCCATTTTCAATGGTAGTTTAAGCATTAAGGCAACCTCTAGCATTAAGGCAACCTCTAGTTCTCCAAGTAAGTAGAATTTCTTGAAGCTTTATGCTATTCAACCTCTAATTGAGTTATATCGTAGATAAGTGATAAGAATTTTTATTCTAGGTGAAGGAAGTTCAAAGAGTGTAGAGAAGAGAAGTTAGAACAGAGCTCACGCGTTTTTGGAGTAAAGGTCTGATATCTCTTGATTTTTATTATTGTCCTTGCATGAGAATTTTTGTGGTGTGTTGCTATTGAGACAATATATTGCTTTGTGTTGGAGAATGGTAGTGGTGAGAAAACAGGGGAGGTATTGAGTTTATGTTGAAAACAGGGGATGAATATATGAAGTGGAAACAGAGTTTGCTGGAAATTTTACCAGCAACTTCATCTTGATTTTGAACCCATTTAATGCCTATGTGTTATCTTTACGTGGGCTTTTGAATCATTCAATTTGGAGTTGTATATTAAGAGTTATGGCCAAAAGACTACAGACTGTATAGTCTGGAATCACGTCGCGCGCGCCGCGCAGGCTGGGCAGCGTGTCGCACTCGCGAATTCCACATGCGCGGTCGCGACCTTGGCTAGAAGCTCTTTGACTCTCAGTTTGCGCATTTCGAGCTCGCGAACTCCACAAGCGCGCTCGCGACTTCATCTCGCGCTCGCGACTTGTGTTGCGTGTTGCGCGGTCGCGACTTTGAGCCAGAAACCTCTCTGACTCTCAAATTGGTACATCTCGCGCTCGCGAGGGTTTGAAGACGCGCTCGCGGACTTTGGTCTCACGGCTCGCGACGAACTTAAGGTTGCGCGCTGTCGCGACTTGGCTGCGCGGTCGCGACTTCAGCCAGAAACATACTGACTCTCAGGATGCACAAGTCGCGCTCGCGACTTTCACATACGCGGTCGCGACTTCAGCTGTGACATTCTTTTGCCTTTCATTTGCTATGTAATTACATTCCTTTGCTCAACATATATGCATCCAATCATTCTACAACAAAAATATAACATAAGAACATGGATTAAAACAACAGGTAAGCATTTAGATGATGTGAAATCAAATCAACATGATAAATTATGCAGTTATGCAACCATTTATATGTTATTGTGTTACATTGTTGACATGTTAATATTAAGCTCCATTGAGGTTGGGTAGAAACTATGTAGATAAGGCTATGTCGCGACATAGAATAGCAGATCTGCGCCCCATACAGTTTGGAACTCTGGCTACAGGCCGTTGAGTGGATATGTGATTAATACCAGGGCCATAAGCAGCCAAGCATAAGCCTATAGCATACAGTTTCATCCAGTTTCATACAGTTTATCTTATCACTTCGGTTTCACTATAACCTTATGGAGCCATACAGATATTTTAACTTGCTCTTGCATGAATCATACAGTACAATAAACAGTAAGAAAGATCATGAAGGTAAAATGAAAGCCGCATGTTATGTGTTGTGCTTACATAATGCTTTTTGCTTATATGTGTGCTTATTGTTGTTTTATGTTGAGATATCCACTGAGCTTTATTTGCTCAGCTAGTTACCTGTTTAAATCGCAGGTTTTGAGACTAGTTCGTAGAGGGTCCGTTTACAACTGCTGCCATTCATCTGTAGAAGACTCGGTCTTCAGGGTAGAAACTCATTTTGTTATTCTTTTATGGCATGTACGAGGCACACAGTTGGGCCCAATCCATTTTGTAACTAGTATCATGTCTTGTAAATATTCAGTACATTATTACTATAAGCAATCTCAGCATGATATTAGATTCAATCTCAGCATGAATTTAGATTCATTTACTTATGATTCAGCATGTAGTTCATTCAGTCAACCAGTTTGTTAGCGTCTCCGGCTCGGTTTATTCGGGTTTACCGGTGGAGCCGGGAAGGGATGTTTACAACATGATTTATATTTTTGACAATATAATGATATAAAACTTTAAATCTTTTAAAGTTCGTGTAATCTAAATTTTGTTAACTCTCTGGTATTCGATGGATCTATAAATTTCGACTAATCTAAATTCACGGAAAGTTCTACAAAGAGAAAAACAGTCTAAAAAATTATATTATTTTCAATCTCTCATTCCATCAGTTCTTTCATTCAGTCAACCAGTTTGTAGCGTCTCGGCTCGGTTTATTCGGGTTTACGGGTGGACCGGGAAGGGATGTTACAACATGATTTATATTTTTGACAATATAAATGATATAAAACTTTAAATCTTTTAAAGTATCGGTGTAATCTAAAATTTTGTTAACTCTCTGGTATTCGATGGATCTATAAATTCGACTAATCTAAATTCACGGAAAGTTCTACAAAGAGAAAACAGTCTAAAAAATTATATTATTTTCAATCTCTCAATTCCATCAGTTCATATTAATTTTCAGTTATGAAAGAAGAAGAATTTCCGCAGGCTATCTTTTTATGTGGGATACACTTCCAAGTTGCAAACTATGTCGACCAATATTGAAAAACGAAGGGAAAGGCCAAGCGATCAGCACTTGTGGCCGAGCTTGCACCGATCTCGTGAACAACCGGCTACCGGGAACTGTCAACGACTTTAGCAATGGCCGCGCCAGGGTGGAGAAAGTAATGGATTGTGGGTCCTATTTGCAATTGGCTGTTATACAATTTCTTTATTTTTGTAGGCATTTATCCTTAATTACTACTAGATATATTTTGTACTGAGACTGGGAGAAGATTAAGAAAACAAAATTTGCCTTTCGCTCAAATAATGAGAAACACTTGAATTGTAGATATAATTTCTACAAAATTAGAAATCCAACCATCAAAAATTTCTTATGAAAAGAAATAACTATATATCTGGACACGAAATTAATCTCATATTTGAAGATATATGAAATACTAATGATTTTTTTTTTATTTTTATTAAAATTCATTTTAATTTGATTTATTTATTTAAAGTTTTGAATTATTTCAATTTTACTCCATTCAAATCAGACTGAATCCACTGTTATTTTTAAGACTATTGAATTATGAATTAAAAGTATCAAAAGTGTGTGATAAAATAATATGTACGTTTTAGTGTAAAATGATAAAGTTAAATGCCTTATTATTATTATTATTATTATTTATTTATTTATTTATTTTGGTAACAAAAGGAAGAACAAAAAGAGAGCAACTTATCTTAAGAAACTGAAACCACAGACATCAGACCAAAGGATAGATGAAAGCGAAGGAGGCATAACAGCCCAAACATGAAACGAAGTGGAAATAGAATCACCCAAATGCCTTGCTTTGCTCAAGTGCTTGACTGGTGAAATCTTTTGTATGTGTGATCGATAATTAAGAATTCTTATATAAACTAAACAAGAATTGATTTAGATAATATTTTAACATTCTGTTGTCATTTCATTTTGTTTCCATCCATTTGTTTTTCATTATCATAAGTGAAGTTCTTTTGACTTTTATACTCAAGGAGTAATCAACTCATGACTATATATATATATATATCAAGATCCACAACACTAAAGCTTGATATATTATGTGATGGTGTTTTTTTCTTTTCTTCTCTATAAAATGTTGCAGAGTTAATTTAACTTGTTGTTCATAGAGATTTTCATCTACAGTCGTGTAGTTGCAGCAGGAAGGTATGAAGCCAGTTAGGATATGTTGAAGCAGTCTCTATCGATTCATGTCTCCATCTTGTCATTCATTGGTCGAGGGACACAAAAATTTGTTTGCTTGGTTCAGTTTCAAATTGGATTGGTGTGTATTTCAGTATTTGTACGTATATGCCTGAAGTAAAATATTTTTGGTATAATATAAAGAGTCTTACAAATAAGAATTTTTGCTTTATAATAATAGCTAAACTATTGAAATTGAATTTTTGTTAGTAAAATGAAATTTAAATTTAAATTTATTTATTTACAAAAATTTTGTTCATCAATAAACTAAACTTATCAGAAAAATGGACTCACAATTGATAAAAATTCTAATAAAATTTGTACTACTTGAAAAACGGTTCCTACCTAATACATTGACTTTCTTTGACTTTATTATTAATTACACTTAGGATGACATAATCAAACTATTAATTGTTTTAATTCTGGCCAACAACCAGATTAAGATACTTAATTATTTTTTAAGTACACTTGGGTCAAACTAAGATAGGGACCAAGAATGAGACACACACCACTCAATTTGTATAATATAAAAATATTGTTAGCCGGCGCTCCATTTACCATTTTATTTGTAAACTGTTATTAATTTGGATTTCGACAACAAAATTAAATGTGATGGAAATTGATTTATTAAAAAAAATTGTCATATGAAAATAAATATTATTAATTTTTTAAAATAAAAATTCCATGCATGAATATGTAGGAATAATATTCCAAGTCAAAACTTTCAATACTTTTGTTCAAGGGATGCAAATACGGAAAAGATTTATCGACACCCAAAACTATCTATACATCAAATCAATTATAAACAATATTTTCCATACACTTAAAAAAGAAAAGACAAAACGGTCATATTTTTTTTTTAAAAAAAAAAATTGAATTAACTTGGTGTATAGGAGCACCGGCACATAGGGTGTAGACAAGAAATAAATTTCGCACAAACAATTACTCTAGGTAATTGAGAAAGAAACACAACACTGCAAGCATGTTGTGCTCTTCATTAAAAATTTCAAAACAGAAAGGAACTAGTCGCATTAATAGTTCCACTATAATGCTTAATACATGCTTACTTGCGACATAATTTGCCTGTACTATTCCTCATCCTCTGAATCTTGAATTGCATTTATTATTATTGTTATTATTATCTGCTGGGCTCAAAAAGCTATTTATCGATCTAGCCTTCACCATCTCAAGCTTCTTCTTTCTCTTTACCATCGTCCATGGCTTCTTCTCTTCTTCATCTCCATGTAAAGCTCCAAGAAGAGTATTATTAATATCATCGATCTACTGATATTTTCTTTTCTTCATTGTTTTTTCTTCTGCTAGTGAAAATGATAATTGTTGCAGAGATTCATCACCCTTATTGGCCATGGACCGGTTTCGTACGCTAGTCACACTTCTAAGCCTTCCTTTGCCTAAATGAACTTCCATAGCTGCAGTACCTCTACCTCTGTAACTCTCTTTTTTTGCACCACATCTATCAATACCTCCTTCTTCTTCTTCATTATTTTCATTTTCTTGTATGCATTTCTTGTTCACCTTCGTCTTCATTTTCTTATCCATTGTTATGTTTTCTTCGTGCAATTTTCTACCGGAGGAGCTCTCTCTTCGTTTTTTCAAGGGAAATGCTTTCTCTCCCTCACTGCACCAATATCCTTCATGGTGCAACAGAATCAACAAACGCACAAATTAAAGTGCAACAAATTCTTGTCAGATCTTGAATATTATATCATTGTTTTCTTGAAGATAGTTAATCTTTACGTTGATGAAAAGAAGCTGATTCTTGGAAAACCATAGGTGGTGTTTTTGCACCCAAGAAACTTCCTTTCCTAATTAACAATTAACCAAACCCAAAAGATCCACAACTACACTTCTAGCTAGATATATACATAAAAAGGAAGGAAAGAAATATACATAAATTATGGAGCCAAGAAAATAAAACCAGTATATAAACATAGATGTGCATTGCATAACATTGTGAAATGGGGACCAGCGTCGCATGCTAACGTGCACCGCATGGGCTATGGTATATATATTATATAAATCAGTTAGCCAAAATATAGAAAAAACAGACTAATAGATTAGATTAGATGGGATGGGATGGTAGCTAGCCAAAGTTCATATTAAAAACACCTGAACAGTATTTCCAGTAACTGTAGTTTTCTTTTCTTTTTCTCTTTTGTTGGTAAAATTGTCTTATGGTCTCACTTTTCACCTTTTTCACTAAAAGATTTTCATTAAATATTGATTTTCACTTTCTTTCTTTCTTTCTTACCAGCTATCATTTCTTCTCCCCCATCTCTCCTTCTAATTCTCCCCCTTTTCTTATCCTCTCCTTCTTCCATCATAATCTACAGTAAAAATCACAAAATGGGTGCGAAACTAACCATAAAACTAGATCCATCAAAATTGCACGTTTAGGTCATATTACACCCATGCGCACTCAAAAATTTTATTCAAAAACTAAAAATCATGAGCAAACAAAACAAAAGAAATAAAAAGTAAAAACACTACTCACCGTCTTATTTTCTTGTTTCGAAGCTGTAAGATACCAATCTTGACCGTTGATTGGGTGAAAGTTGGAAACTTTACCATCTTCTTGGAAGAAATAGGGATCTGAAATAGTAACTGGCGGGAGAGCTGAAAGAGGAAAAGGTGTCTTTCTTTTCCTGATTCTCATATGTGCAAGGAAAATTATTTGATAGAAAAAGAGAGAGAAAGATCAAAGATTCAAAACTCAACAGCAAAGGTAGATTTGATAGAGAGGAGAAGAATAAGAGAGAGAGAAGAGTGCAAAAACACAAAGAAAATACTATACTCCAGGAACGATAATAACACGAAGACCAAGATTTTTTTTTTTTTTGGGTATCAAGAACAAGAAAATTTGAATGCTTTAATATCAGTCTTTCTTTCTCCATCTTTCTATTTCTTGATTTTCTCTCTGTAACTTTTTTTCATATGCACCACAGAAAGGTAGGGAATAAGACTAGTAGTAGGCAAAATTTACCATGTGTGTATTGTGTTGTGGTATAATGAGGTGGTCACCTGCGTGGGACTACAGAGCACGTGTGGGAGACTGCTTTAACAAGTAGACGGTGATGAGAAAGGAGACAAGGTAGTGACGAGGATTGCCAGAGTGGAGAGAGAGAGCACAAAATGATGGGAGGAGTGGGTGGTTTTATCACATCATCTAAAGCAAAATGAGTGACTTACCTACAGTTAGTGTAACAATCGGCAGCCAACCACTTGCTTGGTGTGTATGCATGGTGCAAGTATTTTTCCGTCTATTATATTCTAAAAACAAATGTTTATCTATTTTTTTAATTAGAATTTTTTTTTGAATGGATTAGAAGCTAAATAGTTATAAAATATTTCTTTTTTTGTAAAAAAAAAAAATGTCATTTTCCTTTATATAACTTAATTTTTTATAAAAAAAATATTTTCTTCCAATAAACCTCTAAAAATAAAGAGAGTTTGATAAATAAAAAAAAGTATAACCTTTTAATAATAACTACACTTAATTGTCATGTCAAAATTCTAATTTTTCACTCTAATAACTCATTCCTTACCACTTATATACATATATTTAACTTTTTTACAAGCAGCAAAGCTATTAAATCTGACCCGATTTGGTAAGTCAATTCAGAGAAATGGTAAATTGGAAAGAGAATCAATAAATCGATCATGATTAATTTGCATAAACTCGGTCAATCCTGACATATTCTTTGATAATCATAATTATTTAATTAATATGCATTATTAATAATTATATGATTTATTGATCAAATGACAAATGATCTATTCATCCAAGTTAACTAGATTAATGTTTGGGTATAGTACACTGACACCTTCAAAGGTTCAACATACTCAAATTGTATCTATATCGACACCGACATCCATTGAATACTTCCGGCGAACACCTTTTTTACAGCGAGCAGCAACAGTTTCCTTGGGCTCATAATTTTAAACAATCTAAGTGGTGGAGACCTGCGGCCCATAATAATTAGCCTTTAATAATATCTTCTCAGGACCCATCTTTATAATGGGTCGACCTTAAACTTTAAGCCTATAATTTGTAAGGGTGAAGTTTGGTGATACTTCCGTATTGGAATAAGCACAAGGACAGTTTACTTCTCCGCGACGGTTAATAATTCGTCAATTAGTAAGTGTAAACTATGCATGGAACCGAACTATACTGTAAATAAATCGAAACCGATTCAAAACTCTTGATTTAAGATTTTGAATTAAAAACAATGGTTCAAGGGTCGGTTAAAATTCATGTGAATGTTAAAATCTGAAATTCAATCAGTCCTAAACCGGTGATTAATCGGCGGTTTTCGGTTCCATTCTAATTGAAAATTTTCTATTTTTATTTTCAAAATAATAATCACTTAACTTATTATAAATTGAAAATTTTCTATTTTTATTTTCAAAATAATAATCACTTAACTTATTATATACATATCTAAAAGTCTCAATAATATTTTACTATATGATATACTTTACTTATAATTTTTTTTTTTAAATACATTTCATTTTAAAAGTTAAAAATCTAAAAAGTAAAATGGTAAAAAAAAGAAAAATATTTAGTCCAAACTTATATTATTTTTGAATTTTTTTTCCTTTTAAATTGTTTACGAAGTTCAAAATTACATTCTTTGAAGCATTTTTCAAAATTTTTTAATAATTTATTTAATTAATAACATTTAGACAAAACAAAGTGATAATTTATTTGATTATTTTATAAAATGAATTAATTTTATTCTTATATGAGTATGAGCATTCTAAAACTTATTTAAATAAAATTTATTAATATTTTTTAAGTTCATATTAACATTTTCGAAAGAAAGAAGAAACATTAGAACTGATTTAAAAAAAAAAAAAGAAACATAAATCGTCGGAAATCATCATCGAAACCGCATTGAAACTAGCCGAAACCAGAATCGAACCGAAACCGGCGGTTTAAAGACCAATTCAGATTCAACATTTTAAAAATTTTGAACCGACTGTTCAACTAAGTGGCCATGCCCAGTGTAAACCATCAACTCAAACTAAATGAAATCAAATTAGATAAAGTTTGATTATTAAAAAAGTAATTTAGCTTATAAATAACATGGCAACATTAGTAAATTCCATGTTTATGTCCATTAAGATTGTCATATCGCCGATGCACAAATTCGTTTTTTTTTTTTTTTTTTTTTTTTTTTATTTGTTTTTTTTTTACTATGAATTATGCAATTTTCCAATGTGGCATAATAACCACGTATCTTAAATGTAATTATAAAATTTTTTTTAATGGATTTGAAACACTGACGCAAATGTTTTTCAGCTAAACATATTTTTGTTTTTTTTTTTTTTTTTTTTTTTTTACATGTATGCAATCTTTCCAATGTGGCATAATACCACGTATCTTAAATGTAATTCTAAAATTTTTTTAATGGATTTGAACACTTGATCGCAAATGTTTTCAGCTAAAACATATTTTGAAAAATCCAAACAGTAAATTTATAATTAATCATTATTATTATTAATTATGTACATATCAAGCTTTGAACTTATTTTATATTCTATTTTATTAATCTAAATGTAATTGACATTCGAACTCATAATCTTATAAGTGTATTAATGAGTAATTATATATCATTTAACTAAAACTCATTAGTATAGTGTCAAGAGGAATGCTAATGCTTTACTACCTGTTAACCACATCCATTCTCCACAATATCATATCAATTCTCAATCCTAAATAAAATAATAATATATTAACAATAACAAATAAAAAATAATTATACTTTTAATTCTCATTTCATATTTCAACATCAACCATTATTAAATTTTATATCATAAACAATTTTAAACCAAAAAGAGCAAGCTGACATGTTTCTGGTTAAACTAACTGAATATAAAAATAAAACACACCAGGTAGTCTAATCCATTTTAATTTTTCTGGTTCACAGACTCAACCATCACCAGCTTAATCTTTGATATTCAATTAATTTATAGGTTCCAAGTCAACTCACCATATATATATATATATGATAAAAAAAATAAAACAATTTTTTTTAATTTTTATCTACAGAAAATTCAATTTTCTATTTTCTTTTTCTTTTCCACCGACTTCGCGATGAAATGAGAGTATGCATTTATTTTAATGATTCATTAGTTAGACGCATTCTTTTCATTTGCTAATTTTGATTTTGATTTTTTTAAATAGGTGCATAAATTAACACCTAAATTTTATAAGAAAAGTTTATTGGTATTTTGAATTTTTATCTTGAATTATTAAATCTCTAACTTGTAAAATTATATTTTTCAACACTTGATTTATAAAATTATTCTTATTTAATATTTTAACATGTGAATTATACTTATTGAACATTAATAATGTGATTAAAAAAATATAAAAATCATTGTCGAATAATTCATATTGAAAGATTTATAAAGTATTGTATTTATATTAAACATAATTGAGTAATTAAAAATTGTGAAAAATTATATCTCAATAGATATGATTATGATTTTAAACAAATTGAAATATTCAATAAATTTAACTTTCAATAATTATTTAGCTTAATAGGTCAAGCTAAAAACTGAGGGTAGATCTTCCTCTGTATATGGGTTCGATCCTCTACGTTATATATATTTTTTTATTGTAATAAAATTTAAGAGTCTATTTATATATTGAGCCGATTGTTTAAAAATACACAAAAGTTATGGAATATTATTTTCAGAACTAATTCGAAACCCGTTCTTATCACAAGCTTTAAATAATATAACTGTGATCTATCATTACATGCGACTATCTCCATTAAAAAGGAAAAGAAAAAAGAAATATTTAATAGGCTTTCTACATATGCATAGTCCAGCAAAACACTCATTTTTATCGGCTCTAATAAAGAAATCTAACTTCACAGAAATCAGAATATGAAGGAAAAGAAAAATCTAGATACTTATTCTATGGACAAAGTATCTAATTGATAAAGGAAGCATCGAAAAATTAATTAGCAAGATTTTAAGTATAAATCATACTTATAATACTTCATAATCTTTTTCATATGTTCCGTACTCCATATAAAAGAAGAGAGGAGCCGTAATTGTCCCTCCCAGCCCATATGAATCCAAAAGTGAATAGAAAGTTAGATCTACGATGGATCTTACGAGAATTGCTCGTCTATTCTCTTGAGGAGAAATTTAGTTTTAAATCCCGGCTCGAACAGAAAAATAGTCAAAAGAGACGATGAGAATAATAATATTTTTGTACAAATTATATAAGTAAGGAGTTATGCAAAACATCTAAAAAATAGAATGAAAAAATATGATTATTTATTTTTATTTCAATAACTTATTATTTACTTAACCTTTTATGCAAATATAAGCAATACATCTACACAGAGATCAAAATAAAATAAAATAGAAAAAAATAAATAATGAGTGATAATAGTGAGTATAAACAACAGCTATAAACACTTGCAACTCAGTTGGTTTTGACTGGTCTATATATTTTTTAAACCAAAAAAAAAAAAAAATGTGGCCCTACCGAAACTTCATATGCTTCCCCTGATTGCGGTTTAAGTTTGAAAAAGACCATTTTAAAGAGGAGAAGATTCCTTTGTTGTTCATAAGTTGGACTCTCGTGATCAATCAGAGTGTTAAAATGAGTCACGAGACAAGAAAAAAAAAAAAGTTCCAAAAATTAAAATGTGTAATAATAACGTTATATAATTTTAAGAACCAGCTCAGTTGTTTAAAAAAAATGAATTTATTCGTCATGCTTAATTTAAATAGTTGACAATTAATAAATCTATTCTAAACGCGTTTGTGAAGTGTGACGATGATAAGATCACTCGTCAATCAAACAGGGAAAGCAAGTTATGGAAAAGAATAGGAAATACATAACTTCACGTTTAAGAAATCAAGAAACAAGAAAATACCATTTTCAATCATCTCAACAACTAAATCAAAAAAAAGAATCAAAATAGATTCAAAGAAACAAAGAGGAAGGAGATAAAAACTAAATCAATGAGTTGTACACAGACTATTTTGCTCTTTCTTCTAATAGTTTGCTTTCTTTGGTTTGTATTCATCAATCTGTTTTCTTTCTTTAGGGTTGCCAAATAATTTTGTTTCTCTCTTTTTCGTTAAAAAAATTATGTATTGCTTAGTATTTTCTTTAATTAAAATAAAGAATAAAATAGTCAGTGCATGAAAGACTGAGACTAATAATTAAAAATGATAATTAGTTTGTCCGACAGCATTTGTTTGGAGTTTATTTATTTATTTATTTGGCAGTTGAGGGACAAATAATTGCCGAAGGAGGTGGACTTGATACTACTCAGATAAATACAGGAGAATCTTGCAAATATAATATCCATAATTCTTTTTCTGGCTACCGACTCCATTTTTTTTTTTTCACCATTGTTTTCTTTATGTAATTTGATTAGATATTGTCCATATATTACATTCTTTTTCTTCTGTTCCTTTGACATTTTGCACCTCTCATCATACTGCAAAGGAAGAAGAGGTCAAGGCTCTCAATATCAAATGATAAATTTGCTTAAAGAATAGCGTAGAATTATTACCTAATGATCATAGACTTTTCTGCCTTTAACATTTCTTTAATAGCTACGACACACTTTCCTACATACATATATATATATATATATATATATGAATGCATTAGACTTTTTCTGCCTTTTAACATTTCTTAATAGCTTACGAACACACTTCCTACATACATATATATATATATATATATATATATACTATATATATGATATTAGCTCATACTAAACGCATGCACCGAGCAAGAAAACAATCAAGAGATTCTGTTAAAAACCGGGCAAATAACAATGTTTTCTTCTTCTTCTTCTTCTGTTAGTAGTAATGTTTACTTGGCACTTAAAATTATTTTGGTAGCCATAATTCTGCAGCACCAATCTAATGCTCAACTGAGTGCTACTTTTTATAATACTACATGCCCGAACGTGTCTGCCATAGTTACCAATGTAATACAACAGGCTCTTCAATCTGATCCCCGGATCGGAGCTAGTCTCATTCGCCTTCATTTTCATGATTGCTTCGTGGATGTAAACCCATAACAAATATTAAATTTCTTGTATTATTTTCTTTTAAATATTTATTATTGATTTAATTTTTGTTATTTGGATTTTAGGGATGTGATGGTTCAATTTTGCTGGATAATACTTCAAGCATACTGAGTGAGAAATTTGCAGCTCCGAACGTTAATTCGGCTCGGGGTTTCGATGTAGTGGACAATATTAAAACTGCTGTGGAAAATTCTTGCCCTGGTGTTGTTTCTTGTGCAGACATCCTTGCACTAGCAGCAGAGGCTTCTGTTTCTTTAGTAAGTTGGTTAAATTGAATCTGGGTAATTAAAATATGGGACTATTATAAAAATGTAATTTGTGTTGCAGGCAGGAGGACCTTCATGGACTGTACTGGTAGGAAGAAGAGATAGTCAAACTGCAAATCAAGGGGGAGCCAATACTTCTATTCCTACTCCTTTTGATGGCCTAACCAACATTACTTCCAAGTTTTCTGCTGTTGGTCTAAACACCAATGATCTGGTCGCTTTATCAGGTACTATTAGACCGAGTCACGGGTCGTTTTTTTTTTTTTTTTTTTTTTTTTTTATCGGGGGGTTCCCCCCGGGGGTATTTTTATTTTTTTTTTTTTTTTTTTTTTTTTTTTTTTTTTTTTTGTTGGAATTCAGACAGTTCTTTAATTTTCAATTTAGATTAAACAATCAAATTTTCAAAACTATGATTTTGAACCGTATTTTGGTATTTTAAGCACATGAACACCTCTACATATAAATCGTCTCATGAGTAGATTTATTCATGTGGCGAATTTGAAATTGAAAATATCAAAAATTTTACAAAGTTTTTATCTATCAGACATATCATTTTCTTTACAAAATAGAAGTTCATGACATTCTTTGCAAAGAGATCTACTTCTAAGTGAGTCAGGGTTGAAAATATTATTTGCACAGGAATTGACTCGACCTGATTCACTCAATATAAGCCTCATTTACTAATTTAAGATTAATTGCAGGTGCCCACACATTTGGACGTGCTCAGTGTAGAACATTTAGCAATAGGCTATTCAATTTTAGTGGCACAGGCAACCCTGACCCTACACTGAACACTACATATTTAGCTACTCTGCAACAAATATGTCCACAAGGAGGCAATATCTCTGCTCTAGCAAATCTTGATCCAACAACACCAGATACTTTCGACAGTAACTATTTCACAAATCTACAGAACAATCAAGGGCTTCTTCAATCGGATCAAGAACTATTTTCGACGTCGGGTGCTTCTACTATCTCTATTGTTAACACCTTCAGCAGTAATCAAACTGCATTCTTCCAAAGTTTTGTTCAGTCAATGATTAATATGGGAAATATTAGTCCTTTAACAGGAAGCAATGGAGAGATTAGAGCAGATTGCAAGAAAGTCAACGGAAGCTAATTAATTATTAATTATGCTATGAAATTAAAATCAGAAAGTGATTAGCTTGGTGCTTAATTTATTTAATGATAGAGAGAGTGTTGTCATTTTAAAGAATTTTATTCAAATTTGATTGATATTGCTTTGTCTTTTTTTTTTTTTTTAAAAAGGTTGTTTGGGTTGTATTTTTTTTTCTCTCATGTGTAAATAAGGGGTGCCTCTTTCTTTTAGTAATCTTTAGGAATAAGTTATACTTATTGCAGAAAGGAATATGTTCTTCAAGATTTGGAAAGAATGGTGAATTTTTTTTAGTCCTTCAACGAGGGAACAGCTCACTCTCTTTTTTCAAATCAAGGACAACCTACATTTTTTAGGATTTTTTATTTATTTATACAATAAGTGTTTTTAATTCCTGGGCTAAATCTAATTCTCGCGCTGCGTCACAGCTTACGAGGGAAAAGCTCTTTCGGCATATATTTTCTCCATTCATAATAACAATAACCTCTTTTTTGAAAAATTGCAAATCATGATATTACAGTTTATCACTTGCGTTAGGATGTGAAATTGTTTGGATGATATTTTTATTATTTTAATAATTAAGAGTTTAATCATTTAACAGTGTAAAGTTTTAATTTGACATTGAGTGAAAGATGTAACATGGCAATTAAGATTTTATATATCTACGTCACATTAATATAAATAAACAATGTTAAGGTATTTCTTATTAACGAAATCAAATATATGTTATAAATTTTATTTTAATTTGGAATTATTAATTGTATTTTATTTTATTGTTAAAACATTTTTTTTAGAAATATAATTCATTAATAATAAAATCAAGTATTTCAAATATTTAATTAGACCAAACATTTCAACAACAAAAGAATTATCTATATTCTTTTGAATAATAAAACTAAAACTAAAAAAAACAATATTGGATTTTTTCGCTTGAAGATAACCTTGACCGATATGAATCTTTATAGTAGCAACTGATCCTTTAATTAATTTGGACGATAAAATAACTTCTCCGAATCTTCTATACTTAGATTGCTTTTCCAAAAACTTATTGCGTATGACATACACAAATGAGTTCAAATCACTACGCATTAATAGCATCAATGGAGGAACATGCCGTATTACCAGGGTCCATTGATCGAAGATACACATCAGTAAAACAAGATCTAAATTCTCCAATCAAATAAAATCAAATATTATACTTTTTAAGAACAAATATTCACAAAGAAAGAGCTAAACCCTCGCGGAAGAAGGAATAAAAGAACTCCAAATATGGAGACAGAGCAACAAAACAAAAAAACAAAGGAAAAACAGATTTGTTAAAAGAAAATATATCTGAGTTTATTAAAAACGAATAAAAGATTAGAAGCAAGAAGAAAAAATAAAAATAGGAGACTACCACTGATTAACAACAACAATCCCAAACAAAAGCTAAAGTTAGATAAAATAGAGAGAAAAGAGGAAGAGAGAAACTAATTGTTAAAACATTTAGGTTAAACTTTACTGTTTAAAATATAATTTAATGTCATCATAAATATTAATTATCGCTAAAAATTTAATGGATTAATTAGATGTGTTTTGATCTTAATTAAGGGAATTTGTTGTTTAGCCATTAGGAACTATTTTTTTTTGGTTTTAAACCATCAAGATTTACGTTCAACAAATGTACGAAGGAAAGCAAAGTGCTCCCTTTTATAAATTTTTTCGGTGCTCAAACTCAAAACCTCATGTTAAATGGTGAAATAATTCTCTCACCTTTTAAGAGTTACAGAGAAAGTATTTAGTTGCTACGTCAAGTGTGAATAATTTTGAGTGACAGTATTAATTATTTTGAGTCTTGTGTTCGATGTCAAAATTGTGATAGAAATCGACAAAAATTTTGTAAGTAAATTACAATCATAATTTTTATTGACTTAAATTATAAAATTATCCGGAATTGTGTGATTTGTTGCAAAATTACTCCAATTTGACATTTGTACCCCGAACATTCCAGATTTGCAATTTAGATATATTGACACCTAATTTAAAAGTAACTTAGAGTTTTTTTGATTAAAATAATATATTAGTATATTCACTCGTTAGCCTTTGGTTAACTTAACCTAAGAGCATAAAATTTACCGTTTTAATAGCATGTCTAACAGAGACTTGTCTCTGTTCTCTCCTCCCATACTTCATCTAACGATGCTCAATAGTACAAACACACTCAGTTGAGGACCAAAAAATAATTCACTACATGCATATGATATTTTCAAGCTCAACCAATCGCCAACTAACAAGTTAAAAGCAAAACTACGCCCTCTCCATTGCGTATAATTCTGTTGTCATATAATGAATTCATACTGATAACAGTACCGTTCATTGATCAAGTGATGCACCGAATTAGCTTATCCAGTCCTCCTCTTTCTTTGAATCGCCGATGAACTACATGGCCTGCTAAAGAGAATTCACAGACTCTAACCGGTCATGGTGGCTTTCGAGTATGGGAGGAGAAAGGGTATTGGATTCGTGGTAGAACCTGGGGAGGAGAGAACAGAGACGGGTGCTGTTAGAGATGCTATCAAAACTGTTCGTTCATACCCTTAGTTAGGTTAAGTTAACCCAAGACTAACCGGTAAGACCATTAATATATTATTTTAATCAAAATCTTAGATAATTTTTAAATTAGGGTGTCAATAATTTGAGTATCCAAAATACAAAAATCAATTTTGAAATGATTTCGGAACAAATAACAAATTTAAAGTATTTTTATAATTTAAGTCAATTTTTATTTCTATATGAGATTTGCGGGTATAATTCTATCAATATATAGCATGTTTTATTAAATCAATTTCCATCGATCCCAAAATAATAATAATAAAAATAGTGAAACTACATGACATTTTTTATATTTTTCCCAAATAGATGTTGTTGTCAATTTCGAGAGATTTAGGATTTGACCCCTCCATTAGGCTTGGCCACGGTTTCGGAACCGGCGGTTCCGGTTCCAGAAAAATTGGAATCGGAACCGAACCGAAAAGGTCCGGTTCCGGTTTCGGTTTCGGTTCTGATCCGGTTATAAAACCGACGGTTCCGATCAGTTTTTCGGTGAATCGCATAATTTTAAATTTTAAATTTTGAAGACCGGTTTAAAAAAAATTATTTGAACATAAAAAATTAAAAAATACACATTAAAAAATACACCTAAAAAATTTTAAATTTTGAAGACCGGTTTATTGAACATTATTATTTGAACATAAAAAATTAAAAAATACACATTAAAAAATACACCTAAAAAATTTTAAATTTTGAAGACCGGTTTAAAAAAAAATTAAATTTATTTTTTTAAAGACTTGAACTGTTGAACATAATTATTTTTTAAAAAAAAATTTTCAACTGAATTTTTTTTTTAAAAGTTTAAACATAATTTTTTAAAAAAAAAAAGGGCTTGAACTCAATTTTTTTTTTGTTTTAAAAAAAAATTAAGTTGCCTACACATCATCTTCGGGTTTAGAGGAATCAAAGCCCACGTAGTTCTTACTTACCTTATACCAATTTCACCCCTTTTACCTTAATCGTTATTTGCACCACCGATTGATGTTCCCGTTGAGGAACCCATCGTATTTAAATTATATAAATCTTCATTTTTTTGGATTTTCTTGGCTCTTAGTTCGGCATTGGTTCCAATCATCAACGGCCATGCTTGTGCTTCTAACTGAATCGGGGTAGTCATTAGAAGATCGTTGGTTTCTCAAGTATGTTTTCCGCCTTTGACTAAAAGCTTGTTCAACCGCCCAACAGTGGAGACCGGAAGCTGCTAAAATTGTTTTGCAGTATAAGAAAGAATTGGAAAGTTATTTGCGTGACGACTCCAATCTAAAATGAAAATCAGTATTCTACGAATAATCATCAACTAAACTCAAAAGAAGTTGTGTAGATATTATCAAATTCAAAAATAGAACTGGATTCCTATTCTTTTTTGTCTTTTGTAGTAAACTTGTTGAGCACACCAAACACCACTTCCTTTGTGTTGAAAATTGTTGATATTTGATTGACGAGGAGTAGAAGTAGAAGTAGATGGAACTATAAATTGAACAAATTCCATTATATAATTGCATTAATATTTTGGTTTAACTTCTTGCATTACTACATTTTATATTAAATTATTCTTCTACATCAAGAATTTAATACATCATAATAAATAGTCAAAATAATTCACAGTAAACAATCCATTCTATAATCTAGGATCAAAATTACAATCAGGCAACAAAGATAAAGAAGGTGGTAATATTTTTTAAAATAAGATAACTATTTTTTTTCATTGAAAAAATATAATTTTTAATAAATTCATCATTTGAAAATTCTTGGAGTGCGAGTAATAAAATTAATACCACATAGGTTAAAAAATAAATGAGATGTGGGGATAATTAAACCCCACTAAAATTTATAGGTTTAGTTATCATTAAAAAATTTTTTAAAATATCTAAAATTTTTGCCACAATCTCCCAAATTTTGTGGTATAAAATTAATATCCTCCAATGATTATTAGTAACAAAAAAAGCAAATAATTCTTTATAAGAAAAAAGACTCATTTAGTAATTCATATATGTTGAATTCCAACGAATTGGAAATCCCTTGAAAAAAACCGTTTTTTGGTCTTTTATTATTTCTTTACCAAAATTTAGGGCCTAACTTTTCATCATTTGGGGATGTGGTCCATAAATATGAAAATAGTTTTTTTATTGAAGAATAAATAACATTCAAGAATTTTTAAACATTATTTACACATAATTTTAAAACATGGCCATGGCACATCTTATATGAAAAAATTTTCCACCAATATTTGGTTCACAACATTTTTTTAAGTTCAATAATTGATCAGTTATTTTGCAGGGAAGCATTATTCAAATGAAATTGAAAAAAAATTTTTTTGTAACTTATATTCATCTAAAATTGAAACAATTACTCTATAAATATTATTTGCAGTATGTTTTATTCATTTTAAAAAAACACGAAAATAAAAATCTTTTTTAAATTTTCCAATCATCATCAATCCAACTGACATGGAATAACCCATATAAGAATGCATTTGCAATGACACTCCAAACATCACAACAAATTGAAACACGAATTTTCATTGTGAGAAAATAAAAGCTCTAACTCTTTTTTCCTTTTTATATAAAAGAAATAATAGTTCTTTTTAACAGTATTTTTGGTACTCTTTTTAGCAAGCAGGATTAAAGCTTTTTGGACATAATTATTAAAACCTGACTTTTTTCACCAAAACTAAAAGATAAATGTTACCATAGAAATTTATTTTTGCTAATTCTTCTTTTTGTATTTTTTTCAGAATATTTAAATTAAAGAAAGGTTAGAAGCGTTACCGGAAATTTTGTGTTTGAGGGACCGGATCAACTCCTATTTTGTTTGGATGTTTTGTCTCCAAATGCTTCCAAAATGATCCATAGCCGCCCCTTGTTTAAATTTATAAGATTTTTCACCCAATAATTGCAAATTTAACATTCATAAATTGCAAATTATATCGTACATTTTCTCACCTTTGAATTTTTTTGTGAAATGAATGGAGAATATGTCGGAACTTTATCTTGCTCTTGTAACAATTTTTGCTCGTAGCTCTTGCTCTTGCTCTTCATCTTCTTAAAATTGCTCATTAAATTCGGATTCTTGAGTTGGAATATCCAAATTTTCATTTGGAAAACCCTCAAAATTACATTGGTCGGGAATCATATCATAGATGTCGTTTGTAGGGATAGATGATTCTCCAATTTTTCCCTTGCCCTTACCCGAATTTGAGTTTCCTCCACTTGCCTTATATGATAATAAGGATATAATTTGGAAAATTGAATAAAAAAATTAGAGGACCATAATAATTAATAAGAGAGATTGTAGAGTTAGGAACGAATTAAATGATAATATAGAGTAGAGTGTAGTATATTGTTAGAGAGAGTAAGTAGAGAGTTTTAGTATATTGTAGAGAGAGTAAGTGAGAGAGTTGAGATTTTTTTGTAATGAATTTTTGGTAAATAAATGACGGTATTTTATTAATTTAAATCCAAAAATTCATTTTTTTCAAAAAATCCTGAACTAGCGTTAGAGAGTAAGTAGAGAGAGTTGAGATTTTTTTGTAATGAATTTGTAAATAAATGAGGTATTTATAATAAATCCAAAAATTCATTTTTTCAAAAATATCCTTGAAACTAGCCGTTATGTAGCCATTTATGGCTGTTGGGAGGGGTAATTAAGAGATTTCACAATAAATTTTTTTTTAAAAAAAAGCAGGTCTGACAGTTACAACGGCTAGAACTGCCGGTTCGGCGGTTCTAACCGGCCTGAGAACCGGCGGTTCCAGTCCGGTTCCTACCGGTTCTCTGGAACCGCCGGTTCTTGTTCCTAATTTTTCTGGAACCGGAACCGAACCGAAATTTTTCAGTTCGTCCCGGTTCCGGTTCTCACCAGTTCCGGTTACGGTTTCGGGCCGGTTCGAACCGACGGTTCCAGTTCTCGGAACCGTAATTTGGCCATGCTTACCTCCATGCTACTAAAATTATATTATGTACTTAGTAAATGCGATTTAAAAGAAAGGATCATTATTGTTATTTAACTCATAATATTTTTCGGTCTATTTAGACCCTAATAAATTAAAAAAAAGAATGATTTAATATTTTCAAGTAAAGTATTTTATAAATAATAGATTAAATTTTGTTTCCTTCATTTATACAATAATAATTTCTATTGAATTGTTTAAAATTTTAATGGAAAAATATGATAAATAAATTTTAGAAATTAAAATAAAAACAAATAGTTTTCATCTTAGCACGTGCACAACTCCTTTCATTGTGTATAGGTATGACTACGGTTTTAGAATCCCTGATTTTTGTTTCGAAACTGTTAGTTTCGGTTATAGAAAAAATAGAACCGACATTGAATTTTTTTTTTTTTTTAGGCAGTTTCTAAGACGATTTTAGAACTGTCGGTTTTAGTTTCATTCTGATTTTTGAACTGAAATTAGATAAAGAATTTTAAATTCTTAAATTTGTAGTTTGAATAAATAATAATAATAATAATAATAACAAATATTATTATTGGAAAAAAAACTAAACCAATTCAATAAAAAAATTTTAAAGTTAATCTAAAAAATTATAATAAAACAAAAAAAAAAATAAATTGAAAGTTTCTTTAAAAACTTATTTTTTCACTGTTCAAACCAAAACTATCGATTTTAAACCAAAAGACCATCCGTTTTGGTTTTAAAAATAAAGAGCCGGAACTGAAATATATAGTTTCAGTTACAATTTAAAACTTATAACTGCTTACCATGGTTCGATTATTATTTGAAATCAAGAGCAGCTGATTATGCCTTTTATTGTCGATTTTGACCGGTTTAATTTTGCTAGTATTCTGATTTGAAATTGAACCATGGTTGTGTCCGGTAGCGTAGAATCTAACCTTCCATTTACTCTGGCCAATCGGGGACTTCTGAGTCTATGATTTGCTAGTATGTCTATTGAGATCAGGTCCACTGAAGTTAAATGAAATTTATTCTGACCGCCAGATTAGAACCATCGATGACCGAAAATATCATCCCCATTTAAACTCTAATACACGAAATAATTTCTCCCTCCCCCTCTCTGTCTTCGTTGAGACTGATTCATTTCACAATTCACACACTTCTCTCTTTCTCTCTCCTTTCTGGATAGACGAGATTGCCATTCAAAGGAGAGAATTCGCCATGGTGAGTCAACTCGGAGATTACTCGACTCTGAGTCTTGAACGAGTCTGAAGCAGATCGTCGAGGTCTTGTCTTGCAGTATCAGGTTTTAGACTTATTTTCTTTTTGAACCCTAATTCTCATAATTCGCTAGGTTTTTAGCTATTGATATTTTTATTTATTTTCTCATCTGAGTCATTTTTTGAATCCATTAATTCTGAAATTGAATCTTAGTGACTTAAAACTAGGGTTTATTGATAAAATATTTTATTGTTTCTCAATTTATGACGAAATTTTTTTTTTAATTTTTATGTTTCTATCTAATGCATGGCTATTTTTCTTCCCTTTCAGCTGTGTTTCAGCTGGATTTCCGTAGCTTTTGATAAATACTTTATATGATTTGGGTCTATTTGGTTTTATGATAAAGTGGAGATTTTGTGATTTGGGTTGCTTCATTTCTATTGGGAAAGTTGGGGTTTTGATCTGGGTTTGTTGAATTGAGGATAAAGTGAAAGTTCAGTTTGCTTTGTTCTTTACTGATAAAGTAAAGAGTTTTGATTTGTGTTTATTCAATTTTTGGTAATTTTAGGGTCTTGATCTGGGATTGTTCGGTTTGGGATGGGTGAGGAGACATCTGATACTATGAATCTCGATTTGAATTTGGGCCCTGGTCCTGAGGCAGGGTCTGGATCAGTACCAGGCGAAGCAGTGAATTTGGATGAGTGGATGGATGATCCTTTTGAGAGAATTAGGGAGGCTGTTAGAATTAGTAGGGCTAGACAGCGCTGGAGATGGCGACAAGTTCAAATTCCTCGTGAAACTCAGACCATTTCAGTGGAATTGAACCAATTGATAGGAAATTCTGACAGTGTCAGTACTTTACAAGTTGGTGAGGGTAGTGTTACTGCTGAAGAAAGGACAAATGAGGTGCCAAAAATTTGTGAAAATAACAATGGGTTCTTGGAAGACCAAGTATCAGAGAAAAAGAGTGATATGGAGAATGGAAATGATAGTGAGGGGAGCTTCTTTGATTGTAATATTTGTTTGGATTTGGCTACAGATCCAGTTGTCACTTGTTGCGGCCACTTGTTCTGTTGGCCATGCTTATACAGATGGTTGCATGTGCATTCAGATGCTAAGGAATGCCCAGTTTGCAAGGGAGAGGTAACCATTAAGAATGTGACCCCTATTTATGGCCGTGGAAATAATACTCGTGAGCCAGAGGAGGACTCAAGCCTTGAGATCCCTCTCAGGCCACAAGCAAGGCGGGTTGAGAGTTGGAGGCAAAGTATTCAGAGGAATTCTTTTAGTTTCCCAATGGAGGAAATGATTCGACGACTTGGAAGCAGATTTGATTTGACTCGGGATTTGAATTCAGTGCAGGATTCAAATGGCACTAATGAAATAGCAGACAGGAATTCCTTCCTGAGTAGGATTATGACACTTAGGGGAATGCGCACTGAGCAAAATCCTGTTGCACCTATTGATGAATTAGTGGATTTAACACACACTGGCACAAGCAGTCCTGACACACGGCACACCCGTCGACTCCATTCGCTATTACTTCGAAGATCACAATCTCACTCTCAGAGATCTTCAACCCACACTTCGCATTCTTCTGCTTTGAATTCTGCTGAAAGGTTAATTGACGCATATTTTCGTAACTATCCTTTAGGGAGGAATCAGGAGCAGCCCCAGCCTGTTGACGATAGAGATTCATTCTCAAGTATTGCCGCTGGTATAAACTCTGAGTCTCAAATGGACACGGCGGTGGAAATCGATTCCATGGGGTCACTCTCAACTTCTTCCTCCAGAAGAAGAAATGATACTGCAAGAGTCTCAGATGTGGACAGCGGGGATTCCCGTGCACCTAGGAGGAGACGATTCAATTAGGAATAGTTCATCTAATAATTAATATATCCTGGAAGTTGCTCAAGGTATGGCAAAACATATGTAAGTGTTTCCTGCATTATAGTTCTTTCACTCTACAAGGTTTTCATCACCTGCAAAGTTGTTGACTTTCATGAGGTGGTTATATAACTTCCAATCCTTTGCTGCTGCCACTATGTTGTTTGAGATACTACTGTACTACATTATGGGGCTTGTGCTCTGAATTTGTATGGAAAGTTAAATTCATAGAGCGAGTAGGCAATCACCTTCCCTTGTACATAAAAACTTTTCAGACTCCACAGTTATGGAAAATTTGCTATTCTTGCAGAACTTATCCCATAGTATCATGCCAATCAGTGAATTGATTTCTGGCCAAATGGTATTTCTTAGTTACCATTTCATTATCTCAAAGTTCAAATAGTAGTAAATATCCTAGAAGTTATATGTAACTTTAGCTAAATATGTATGTTTACTGCTTGCAACAAAGGCATAATAAAACCAATTTTATTCAGTAATAAAGTGTTGTTTTATTGCTGCTTTGTTTTCAATTCGTCACAAAGTGATGGACTCTTACATCCTTCTGTTTATGGCTTTTCAATTGGCAATTAGCACGAATGATTGGAGATGACACGGAATAATTTGTTATATTTAGAAACTTTTGGGGAAGCTTATGATCTCCTTGCGTTATAATTACCAGAAGGCATAGTTGGTTCCTTATAATTTGAGGAAAAATAATATTATTCTGAATGTCCACTGCATCACTAATCTAGAATCTTTTAGGGAATGTCTATATCACTCCTGATTTGTTGATGGGGGGTTTTTATAGTCCTCTTGTGCATAACATTTTTCTTATTATTGTACTAAACTTTACGAAGGATTCTTTTCTTTTTTTTTAAATATCTTCTTTAAAAAAATTTTTCCGGTTTTATGACTATATTTTTATAATTTCCAATCTGGATTTTTCGTTTTCATTTAATAAAATCAACCTACTCTGGTGTAGCAACTGGATGCTTAGTTGTTAAATAGTCTTTTTCTTTTTCCGCTAATTCACCATTGATGTATTATATGTATCTTTGTTTGTTGATAGATGGGGAAATTGAACTTAATTGTGTCAAAGGATGTTGACAAGCTGAGCTAAGTCGAGTTCTATTGAGCTTTGAGTTTATTTCATTAAAAGTATACTTGAGCTCCAGTTTGATTTGAGTTTCAAAAACTGAACTCGAACTCGTCTCAGGCCGGACTGGTTTGAGTTGTAAATGAACTCAAACTCCACTGTTTTACAGTTTACAGTTGCAGATTTGAACTCAAGTCCAAGCTTGTTTGAAGACTCATTTAGCTTGATGGTAAATTCGAGCTCGAGTTCTACTCGGTGAGCTTATGAATAATCTTGAATGAATTTTTTTAAAGTCAAGCCTTAAGTTAAATTGTCTCTATTATTAGCAGATATCTAGCTAATTTATAGAGCTATATAATTTTCTTATTGTCAGTGCAGCATGAATCATGAAGGGCAAAGCAATGTAGTGGCATAATTATAATTTGTGCTGAAACATTTTTGAAAGTTGCAAGACAATGAAATAGAAACCATTATTTAGGATTTCAATGTCGCCAATTGTTTCTGGAAGCACTGCACATGTTTTGAGAAGCACCATCAGCTTGAGTTTCACATTCTTTCATGTGTTGAATGACAATTATGTACCTGTGGTTTTGTTTGACTACAGCCGTTGTTTGCATTTACCATTTAGTACCTTCTTCAATAATTTCTCTACGAATTTCATATTAGGATAGAATATCTGTTTCTGCTTCATGCCATGTTTTGTTCATCCTGGAATCAGGGATGGAATGCAATTCTTGATATATATCTTGTTTTGCATTTACCCATTTCAGTACCCTTCTTTCATGAATTCTCTACGAATTTTCATATTAGGATAGATATCTGTTTCTGCTTCATGCCCCCCCCCATTGGGGGTTTGTTCATCTGAATCAGGGGATGGAATGCAATTCTTGATATATATATATTATATATATATATATATATATATATTATATATATATATATTATAAGACTTTTTAGGTATTTTTATATTTGAAAAACTGAGTAATTATTGAAATGTATTTTTTTTCATCCTGATATATAAGACTTTTTAGGTATTTTTATATTTGAAAAACTTGAGTATTATTGAAATGTATTTTTTTCATCCCTGAAGTTTTATAAAATTAATTAACTCATCCTCGAACTCTTGACTATTTCAATATTTAGTCCTTGAGGTTTGCTTTTGTCTCATTAATGGTCTTTCCGTCTGAAATAAGATACCCTTGAATAAAATAAATAGTCCAAAAATTAAAACTCACGATCTATCATCTATCTTCTTCATCCTCTCCGTCAAATCCAACCTCCACCCATCAAGGTTATGCTGGGTTGTTAGGGAAAGGTTATGTAATGCGGGGTTCTTTCCCCTTGTTGCTCTGGCTCTTGTTTCGTCATTTGGTGTACGCTGGTCTCTTGTTTTTCTTGACAATATTGTAGCAAACGATCGAGAAACTGGTGGTGGGCTGAGGGACGGGAAGAAGGGGATATGTGTGGCCAGAACTATGATCGCCGGTACTCCTATTAATATTAAGTAATCGGGCCAGTAATAAGCCTACTGTTCTATTTATTTTTTCATAATGCCATTGATTTTGATCTGGGTATTGCTCATGATACGAAAATAAGACTGGTCATAAGATTGAAACGGGGATTTATAGCAATACTCTTGAATTTGGTATTGTGGCTACTACAAGTAGGCATTACCGGTGTTTCATTTTGAACCGGAACTGAATTGGAATCGAACTGTACTGTAGATGAATTGAAACCGGATCGAAACTATCGGTTGAAAGTTTGAACCAGAATTCGCAATTCAAGGGCCGGTTAATGTTCATATAAATGTTAAATTTTGAACCGGAACCGGTGTTTAACGGGCGGTTCTGATCCGGTTCGAATCAGAAATTTTTTGTTGTTATTTTTAAAGTTATAATTACTTAGCTTATTTTATAAAATTTAGTATATAATTATATTGTTTAATACAAATGGGAGTTTAACATTTTTTCCTTTTAAATATTTTACTTACGTTTAACATTTTTTCCTTTAAAATATTTTTACTTTAGTTCAACAATGTTATTGATTGAAGCATTTTTAAAAATTTTTTCTAATAATTTATTATTTAATACATTAGATAAAATAAACATGACTACCACTTTATATTCTGACTTCTTCTTCACCTACAACTTAATTCAATTTTAATTGCTTAAATGAGTATGCCACGCATTAAAGTTCACTTTTAACAATCAAATTTACTCAATATTTTTTTTTCCTAAAGTCACACTAATTCTTCTTTCTAAGATAAAGACGCTTCTGTAGAAATTGAATTTTATTTTTTTGAGAAAAAAATTAATAACAGCTACTGCCCCCCCCCACGGAACAAACCATAATCGACAACCGTCCCCGTTTGATTCAATAAAATCCACACGAAAAAAGCAAAATTGAAAACTCAGTATATAATTATATTGTTTAATACAAATGGGAGTTTAACATTTTTTCCTTTTAAATATTTTACTTAGTTCAAAATGTTATTGGTTGAAGCATTTTTAAAATTTTTCTAATAATTTATTTATTTAATAACATTAGATAAAATAAAATGATAATTTATATTTGATTATTTTATAAAATTAATTAATTTTATTGCTTAAATGAGTATGAGCATTAAAAGTTATTTAAAATAAATTTACTAATATTTTTTTTTTAAAGTCACACTAATTTTTTTAAAATAAAGACGTTTTAGAATTGAATTTTTATTTTTTTGAGAAAAAATTAATACACATATGCCGGAAACCATAATCGAAACCGTCGGTTCAATAAAATCACACTGAAACAAGCCAAAATTGAAACTGAACTAGAACCAGCGGTTTAAGGATTGATTTAAAATTTTTAAAGTCTTGAACCGGTGGTTCAATATACCTGCGGCGCCTAATTGCAAGGCTTGTGTTTAAATGTGGGTTTAGCTGGTTGGTGGCGTCGCCGCGGTTATGTTTGCAAGTCAATTTGAAAATTTTGCGCCTTGTAGTTTAAATGGTTCATGAACCGTTTATTGTTCATATACTTTTTGCTGTTTAGATAAAATTGGATTTGCTTCCATTTGCTGTGCTGAACGAAACAAAAAGGAAAGAGTTGAGTTTGAGTGAGAAAGGGATTGTGTTCCCGGCATTTGTCTTTTTAGAAATATCTCTTTTCTCCCTTTTATTTTCACTCTCGTTTAACACAAAAAAAAAAAATGTAATTTCAAACGGAATAACTATTTTATAAAAAAAAAAAAAAAACATGGGCAGATAAATATCTAATAGTAAAAAATATGACGATGATTTAATTATTTTTATAAAACTTCAAGATGAAAATAAATATTGTCCCTTTAAACTATTATTCTTAGATTATTATTCTTAATCAGAGTAAAAGATTCTGTTTAGTTATTTAAGTCTTCATCTCTATTTTCATTTCCATTCTAATTTTCCAAGGTGGGCTCTAATTCTTCAGAAGTTTCTGTTTTCTGTTTTAGTTCGTAATCAGTTGATTAAAACCAAATATCTAATAGTTGAAACTACTATCACCCATTAATGGTTTTCTAGCCAGAAGAAAATGGATTCAGGGCATGGTATGATCACATTCAAGATGTATACAATATCGTTGCAGAGATGGATTGAATTTGTGAGAAACTGGACTTGAATGGGCTTTCTAAGTTATAACTATAAGCCCATTGGATAATATTTTTTTCACAAATTAGCCCATTGGACAATGCTGTTCCATAACAAAGAAACAATAAAATCTGAAACTACAGAACAGGATGATGGATTTTAATTTATGAAGAAGACTTCTATATTTAAAAATTATATATTAAATTTCAAAAATTGCATGTCGTAAATAAATTTTGATATTATCATCCGATTAATTAATATTATATGAAAGAAAAGGTCCATCCTTTGCCATTAATCATGCTTCTAAATTTGACCAACACATTTCTTTTCTTTCCTTTTTTTAAAAAAAAAAATCTTTGCGAAAAAAGAAAAAGGCAAGGAAAATAATAACAGTTACATTTATAAATTATTATAAGTATATGATTACAATTATGATCAGAATCATGAAAAAAGGCAGTTTTTTAGGGTTTGTTGTCTGTTACTTTGGCAGCAAAAACACAGCATCCCAGGATGAGAAAAGGAACATTAGATGATGATTATGATTAATGGTTATGATTATGATTATGATTAATGGTTATGATTATGATAATAAAAGAAAGCATGACAAAGTCCTAATAATGATGTCTCTGAGACTCAGAGGGAACAAAGATGCTTCTATTTCCAGGATTGCATGCTCTTTTGTTGTCTTTTGGTTTCTCTTCTTTTTTTAATCATCACTTATTATTTTGTTATCTTACATTTTGGCACTCTCTTTTCATCTTAATCACATTGGACCTCATGATTGCTTTAGCTTTTTTCTTTTGTTTTTTTTAAAAA